AAACTCGTTATAAGGCCTCAATCGCGCATTTAAAATCAAACCTTAGTTCCCGAAACTTAACGTGGACCCACCACCTTAGAAAATTCCTAAGGCTATTCTAGTACTTTCCAAGCGACAGGATGGGCTCAAAAGACCCTTGGTCAACGGTTTGGTCAAACTTTCCATTTTTGGTCAACGGGGCCCGCGGGGCCCACGACCTCCAATTTCAAATCCGAAAGTTCCTAAAGGTCCAAAAAGGTCTTCTGAACATGTCCTGAAAGTTTGCTATCGATCGAGCGGTCGGATTTAAACCAATCGCACGATCGAACGACGATCGCTTCGCCTAACTCTAGACTCAAAGATTCGGAGTATCCGGGATTCCGATTCTCATTCCACGAATTCCTACATGATCCCAGAGGTACCTAGATCAACAAACTTGGAAATGGAGTCGATCCAACGGTCCAAACATATCGAACTCGGATAATGCCTAATATGTGTAAATCCGATCGACCGTCCTCAAACGATAACCAAATTAAAATCTGAGAATACCGTTGTGCTCAGGATGACATGGGAAATATTTTAGAACCAAATGGGCCACCCAACCATGGCCCACGTGCCGCCACACGCGCCGACAACGCATGGGTGGCTTGAGAAAATTCTGGCGACAAGAAAATTCTCAAAACACCCAACAATACCTATATCTACGTGATCAGGACAACTAGTGGAGCAACTTTTGTTCTTGGGCCATGACCAAAATGTGACCGGAGCTTGCCGGAAACAACGACAGAAAGATTGGGTAAAAACCTGCGCGGTTTTTCTCGTTTTCCGACGGTTGTGGTTGCGGGTTTCGTCGGAGTTGGTGCGGGATGGAGAGAGGAAGGAGGCCCGGTCATTTTGGTACCGGCCTTGTGGCCAACGGTGGCCGGAGCAGCTTGTTTGCTGGCCAAACAGTGGCCGGCTGGTTTGTCGTGCGAGAGGAAGAGTGGTGAGGTCGGGGAGACACACACAGAGAAAGAGAGAGAGAGAGAGAGAGAGAGAGAGAGAGAGAGAGAGAGAGAGGAATATGAGGTTTAAAAAAAAAATCCAACTTTGAAATAATTACGGTTGTGCCAATGCACTTTCGTTTATCGTAACTTCTTCGTTACAACTCCGAAGTGGTGAGGGCGGGGAGACACACACAGAGAAAGAGAGAGAGAGAGAGAGAGAGAGAGAGAGAGAGAGAGAGAGAGAGAGGAATATGAGGTTTAAAAAAAAAATCCAACTTTGAAATAATTACGGTTGTGCCAATGCACTTTCGTTTATCGTAACTTCTTCGTTACAACTCCGATCCCACTAAAGTTAAGAAGTTTAAGGTGTTTGGTAAAAATAAAATATACTGATTATTTTAAAGGGCAATGGCCTCCTGATAACAGCTTTTAAAAGTAGCCTCTAGGTTGCTTTTGAAAGCTACTAATATCACAAGAAGCAGAGAATAGCCTGTAATAATTTTTTTTTTTCAATTCTCATAATACCATCATTAATTTTTTTTTAAATGACATCATCTACCACCACCACCTCCTCCTCCACCACCACCACTTCACCTCCTCAACCACTCCATCACCACCACCACCTCCATCTCCACCTCCACCACTATCACTAACACCACCGCCACCACCACCCACCACCTCCACCTGTACCACATCCACTACCACTTGCACCACCTCTTCCACCACTCACTGAAGGAAACCTTAGGATATTTTAGATTCATTAAACCACAAAGATAATATTACGCTTTCTAGGCAACGGAAGCAAAGATTAAAACTTTGAGCTTAAAAAAAAAATATAACCCAAGTATCTTTAGGCCTAAAGGGATTGAAGCACTTAGACACCTCTACAAACTACTAGAGAGAGTAGAGAATTCTTTATACCTTTGTAGCACTACTTTGAGCAAAGCTCAAGGTTGATCACCCATTGAGGGCCTTCACCAAATGATTCTCCAAAAGAGAGCCACCCAAATATTTGGCCTCTAACTTCATACACACCAAAAGAAGAGGATGAAGGAGGAGATGAAGAACCACAAGGAGGTGGAGGTGTTAGTACCCCTCCTTGTATGGCCGGCCATGGTGGAGGGGAGGGAGGAGCATGGTGTAGCCTCCTTAACCTCCCATCATCCAAAACCCTAAAATGACTCAATCCCATAACTACGTATTTATAGGCAATGGCATTTTAAGTTGGGTCACCTATGACCCATATTCAACTTAAAATGACCCATGTGTGTCATCTAAATGGGTCAAACCCATTAGCTTCATCATATAGACGAAATTGCCTTCTTATTGGGCCTTTTGGGCCTTTATGGTTATGTTGTCACATTCAACTTATGCCACAAGCCCAATGGGCCTTGAACCTCTAAAACTAATTTTAGGCCCAATACAATACCTAAGCCTTGATTACTTAATTAATCTCTATTAACTAATTAATTCTTGCTCATCATCTCCTAATTAATTTTCCATCTCTTACCTTTATGGGTGTCCAATCCGTTAAGTTCTAATCAGCGAGGCAGTAGGCGATTCAGACTCTTCCTTAATTGATTGTGAATTAAAATCCATTTTTAATTATCCCTATTATGAGGACCCAGTTATGGCATGTCCTCAGGGCTTCCACAAACCGTGAGTGATGTCTAGCAAAATGTCACGGTTACTCAAGCCAATATAGAATAAGGTGGAGAACCTATTCAGTTGGAATTATAATGTAATACGGTTCTTCTCTAACTTAATGCTCTTGATCACATCATTAGGGTATGGAAAACATGTCAAGCCCCTAATGTGAACTCCAAGCTTATATGACTCATACAAGTACGATTGGAATCAACATTCTCAATCATACCTAGTGCTTCGACCGAAAACTCCCGAATCATATCGCCAGAGCATTCTCCATCTTTACTGAAGGTAGAGATCCCTTGTTGTATAATCACCTACCTCCATGGATTGATCATGAACCTCAACTATACCATAGAGTCATGCCCTTGAGATAACCCAACTATTTAGTATGATCTAAGATCGACAACGCTTCCACAAGACAATTGTGGTATCTCAGGTCGAGGACTAATTTTACATTATTGCAACTATGGAGATGCTATTTGACATGTAAGTAAAACTTTCATACAAGATCTCTCGGTTGATCGCGTTCAGTGAATTCACTCTCTAATGAACACCTATACACTTATCTTAGTTCTACACAAATGACTTGAGACTAGTCATCCTCCCAATTAAGCAGATACAGTGTATACTGGTCTTTACGGATCATTAGTGCGTAGTTAAACAATCCTATGACTAGGAACTATTTAGGGTGTGAGTTATAGGGAAAAACGTCTCATGGACCTAACTTCTTTAGATTGCTTTTTGCATCTCACAGCCCATGGACTTGTCGTTTAGGTAAATAACTATTAACGAAACTATAACCTAAATCGACATAATTGCCCTTATAGTTTATTGTAAAAGGTAATGAAATATTCTTAAAGTTACATCACATGTTTGGCTTTAGGGCATATTTCCAATACCCACAACCACCACCACCACCACCACAACCACCAAATCCACCTCCACCTATACCACCATTACCACCACCACCACCACCACTACCACATAGTTAGCACATAACACTTTCAATATCATGTCCATTTAGTTATTATCAACAGTTACAATAGTTTTATATTAAAATTTATCAACAACATCATGTCCATTTTAGTCATTATCTACAGTTACAACAGTTTTATATTAAAATTTACCAAATGGTTTTGACATTGCTTTTTATACTAACAGCACTTTGAAAATATTGTTTACCAAACATGAAACTGCTTTACTTTACAGCTCATTATTTTCAAAGCATAACATAAGCAACTTTTTTAAAAAGTGACAACAATCGCAAACTGGGCCTAAGTGATGTTGGGCCTCGCCAAAGAAGGTTCATGTTGGTTTTGCCAAGTGTTTTGATCGGTTGTTTATGCTGACCTGATCATAAAAGGTGTGGCTGGTGAGTTAAAACATCGGGTCGATCATCAACTTGGTCAGGTATAATGGGACCAGGTGGCGAGGTGTTTACTGACTTGTTGTCCATGTGGCATCATGCTAATTGTCAATTGGCTCAGATCAGATTATGTCTCAACAATAAGGGTGAAATTTACAAGTTAATCCAAACTAGGGCCTCTTGTCGGACAATGTGACATAGTTTGAATCACATGTTTAATTAAGAGTTTATTTCATTGATTATGTGTGTAGGTTTTTGGTGAGTTTGTGTATGAGTTTGTAGAGTCTTATAAGTTCGCATACCAATTTGAAATGACCTGTAAAATTTAGGAGGGTTTTGATGTAGTATACTCTTAATAAAAACTACATATTGACCCAAAACATATTGTAAGAAGTTTGACAAAAAATGAAGAAAAGAATGTGTAAGAAACGATAGCGACCCTAATTACCTCCATTGATGTGTACCCTTTCCCACTCCACCAAATAGAAACTTACATATATTGGAATATTATTGTGGCGATATTTCAAATCAATAACACATTGTTCTTCATTTTAATTAATTTTTTCTTATAACCGTGCGTTATTTACCGATATAGTTCTCCGTTGCATTGCCTCTATTGAGTGATTGAGATGATGCCCATTAATTAAGCATTAGCTAAATATCCCAATTAAAAACACTAAATTTGTAGCTGATGATGTGAACAGTGAATCCATCACATCCCGAGAATTTGAACGGTAGAAAGCATGGCATGGTACGAGGGTACAGCCATGGCATCATTCTTGCTCTGACTCTCTGTACGGAAAAGCAAACCTCACCCACATTAGCTATAAAAATAAAATAAAAACAAACAAAATAATAATTTCACTATATTAGCTAGGCAAAAGACCAACCACACAGCCAGTCCACTACTGTCCATTTTCCATAAATTCCCTTTACCTTTTTTAAAATAGAAAAAGTAAATAAATATCATCTGAGGGAGATGATAATAGATATTGCAGAGATGAGAAACTTTTGTTTGGCCTTAAAAAGAATCTTAACTTTTCTTGAACTAGGTAACTAGGTCTCTCTCTCTCTCTCTCTCCTCTCTCTCTCTAGATCATTGGTGACTTTCTTTCTAGCTCTCGTGGGAAGTGTCAACGGCACTAAATACGACGTATGTAAAGAAAAGAGGTAAAGAATATTTGAAATGAAATCAGAAGCAAAAATATATAAACGTTTTGTGAGAATCTCACTGGAATTTGCAGACACAATGAGTTAATTGGATTGGTAGAGATACATATCAGTTGCTAGGGTTGTTTTTTTTCTTCTGTTTCCCCATTGGGTTTTCTAAGATTTTCTTCTTTGAATCTAGCTAGGGTTAGTTTTGAAAGGTGCAAGCTGGCTCTAACACCACTTTAATCTTTTTTATGTTCTCTTTTTGCTCTTACCCAAAACCTATGATCTTTTTTCTTCTCTCTCCAGATACCATTTTTTCCCACTCTCTAGATTTCCATTTACAGAAGTACGACGCTGTCTACACCACAATACCCAAGCTTGGATTGATTTGATTTGCTCTAAATAGTATTTTTAAATTTATTTGTATATTTGTTTGTATATTTGTTTGTTTTTCTTTCTATTTCTGGGTTTAGGTGAGTACTATTTGAATTTTTTTATTTATAGTTCTTTTGATTCTTCTATCTCTCTCTTATTTTTCCCATATGTCCAGAAACTCACTTCCTCTTCCTAGTTTTGTTCAAATGGTTTGATTTATATGATGGGGTATCTTTAATTTCCCTTTTTTCATTCCACATTTACTCAGAATAATCGACCCTCTCTAGATTTAGTTGGATCTGAAACTTCATTAATTTTATTATGAAGTCTCTTTCTCTTTCTCTCTCTCTCTCTCTCTCTCTATGTATAATATATATAGTTTTGTGTATGACCGTTTGATAATGAAGTGATTTTATGTGAAGGGGTTTCTGCATTTTCCTTGTAATTAAATGACGAGGAGGAAAATCCAGATCAAGAAGATCGACAACACAACGGCGAGGCAGGTGACGTTTTCGAAGAGGAGGAGAGGGCTTTTCAAGAAAGCCCAGGAGCTCTCTACTCTCTGTGATGCTGAGATTGCTCTTGTAGTCTTCTCCGCTACTGGGAAGCTCTTTGAATACACCAGCTCCAGGTATTTTTCTTTATCATAATTAGTATAATTATACTGAAAGTACCAAAAGAATTAACATAATTATTTTTCTCTTTTTAATCTGTAGACAGTACATCCTAAGTACATATATATATATATATATATGGAAGAGATGCTGATGGGGAGAATGATAAAATAAAAATTAAATACGTACGTACTATAAGCTGCTTGTTTTGTGACTTTTATTATAGTTTCTGCTGACAATGAATAAAATATATATATCTTCATTAATCTTTCAATCAATCATCACCATGAATAAAAAAATAAAGGTTTAATTAGAGGAGTAATTACTATAGAAGCAGTTTAATTAATGAAGACAAGGAGTAACAAATACTTAATTAAAACTTATATTCTTTCTAATATTATTAATCTAAATAAACACTATAAAATTAAGATGATTACAAAGTTATGAATTCCATGTTAATCAAGAGAATGATTTGAAGTAGGAACCATATGTAAGATCATATAGATGATCTTTGTATTCACTGCTCTCCAACTAGTGTTTTAATCTTGTATCTCTAATATGACCACACATTCTATGCTCAGATTTATTCATTTAATGAAGAAGATTCATATACTTTTTAGTATTTTCATTGTTAATGGTCGTAACTCTTAAGATCATGTTTAATAACTTTAACTCATAGTAGACGAAGGGCTCGTTTGGGAGTGATTCTGGATGGGCCAGAATCACTTTTGGGGAGAAACACCTCCCATGTCCCATGTGCTTCTATGTAGAAGCACTTCTCTTGTGCTTCTTCATAAAATCACTTAAAGTGATTCTCCATAGAAGTGCTTTTTGGTCTATCTAGAATAACTCCCAAACGAGCCTAAGTTATGTTCTTATAAAGATTATATAAACCTAGCTAGACCAGTCCTATATATAATCACAATAGTTCTTGAAATTATATTACTTGCTAAGATTGTGACAGCTTGAATAATGTGCCAACGATCAAACTACTATATACATGCAATCACAATATAAAATTACAGAATTTATTACACAATACAAACATAAAATAAGCAAGTTTTCATTGAAATGCAAACTAATTGAATTTGATTTTTCTTTTCATGTGTAAAGCGTGCAACAAGTAATTGAAAGGCATGGCCTGCTTTCTTCCAATTTTGACAAGTTGAATCAACCATCTCTTGAGCTGCAGGTATATATGTATGATGTTGTCGATTACTACTTCTTTTTAGCAATGTCTTTCTTTGTCTTAGATGACCAAATGACTTGTTTTCTATATAAATTAGTATAAAAAAAGCAAAAAAGAAACTTGAACATTTGTAGATTTAAAATCATTCCTTCATTTCAGAAAATGGCAGGATTTCTAGGGCCTTCGACTCTCATGTGCATTCACTCGATTTTTCTTTTCTTTTGAAATCATTACAATAAAAGAGTAAATGCGGTCATTGTAGTAAATCAAAGACTGTAACAAGACACCTTATAACCTTGAAAACCAAGTAGTAGTACCATCCATAGAACAAACATCCTCCTTTGAACTCGACACCACCAGCTCTGAAATTAGTACCTAGCAGATACCTCAAAACCCACTTCACTGCCACAAATCAGCATTCTCACCGCTTTCAGCAACAACTACATTACTTTTGGTGTTCAAGGTCATATAAGAGTCCCTAACTTCTTCCCATGAGCCGGAACCAAAGCTTGTTTCGAAGCTTTTCAACAATTATTGGAGAAAGTCATTACACATCCTTTACTATCCAACTGACCCATAAATAAAATGTCTTCTTCAAACCTAAAATGTCTAACATCATGCAATGTCCATATAGAACTGGTAGGTAGCTTGATATGCACATTTCCCCTTCCCACAATGTCCAAGGGTTCATCATCAGCAAGATATACCTTCCCAAAGTTTCCTTTCATATGTTTCTCCATGATTTCATGATGTGGTGAAGAATGAAATGAAGCTCTCCAATATAAAAAAATGCACGACACCAATGGGCTATCAACACTCAAAATTTTAGTGTCCTCAATGAATCCAAAGGAGTTGGCTCCTTGTGATTCACTCTTGAAAGCCCTATAGTGCTTCATATGACCGATCACAGTGACAACAACCATAGAACCACTTACCAGATATTGATTTACTTCTTCCCTTAGATGGACCTTTGGATTTTGATCTAGCCCGATAACTTGAGTTTCTGCCAATTCATCTAGGTCTTGATCATGTATTGAGTGCAGCTTTAGGTTATTCTTTTTTGTTTTCTTTTAAGTCTTATTTCTTCGCTTAGAATAATATCAAGAACCTCAATGAATACCCTAAACCCTAAACCCTAATACATCTCAGAGAAAGCTTCCATCAATTCAGCAGAATTGTCTTCACGCACAAAACGTGAAGCCTCATCTCATTTGTGAGAGTTAACAGAATAACCCGAAAAGCCATAGCGTCAACCTCTTCCCAGTCTTATATTGTCATACTCTCATGCTTCTTCCCAGAAAAAGGAGATGAAATTTCCTATGCTTTAGGTAATCATCAATCAGTGACCTCCATAGCACAAATTCTATGTCCTCGAACTTGTTTACTTTCCTCTTTGCTAAAATATGAATATGGGTTTGAATGTATTAGGTTAACTTTATTCTTCTCCATAAGGAGGTATATATAAAAGTTTACAAGAGTGCTATACAAGGAATTAGATACAGGAAAGAATTAGAAAAGTATCTCTTAATTATACAATGATTTATCGTTTATATAAAATAGGAAAATAAATCCCTTAATTAATCAAGGAAATAAATCTCCTTGATTCATTAGGAGACTCACGTCAACACTCTTAAGAGCCTTTAAGTTCATCTTTCCCACTCAAGCCTGAAATTTTGATATCAGCTGTTAGGAAACTGGGGTCATTGATCTCCTATAAATAACAAGTGCAAAACAATATAAGTGAGATAAAAAAATACAAAAGTAAACTACAAAAGAGCTTACAAGGTTTACTCAATATCAACTACGTCGTTGGGTTGCTAGGAGATTATCACTATAGAAGAAGAAAGTGAAACAATTACAAACAATCAAGTGTTTTCCTCACTCACTCGTTAAAGTATGAAATCAATGCTTCCGCCGATCAACTCTCACCTTTATCTCATCGGCGGGTCAGAAGATCAACGATATGGCTACCTAAAAGTCTTATTTGTCAAGTGACTTTAATTAGCATTATACGGGTAGGAATGGGAAGCAAATGAGGAATCAAATCACAAGTAGGGGAAAGCAAAACATGTAATTCGTGGAGCATTCAGTCACCAAGATTGGGTGACTGGGCTCAAAACAGAACCTTGAAGATGTCTGAAGTTTGAATCCGTTCTCTCCCCTAACAAAAAATAAAAGAAAGAATGATTAATCACATAAAAATTTCTAAATAACTTCAATAAAATATAGTACTTCTAGCCTAACCAGATGGAAATATTTACCGATGATAACAACAAAATTCATAAGAAAGAATGATTAATCACATAAAAATTTCTAAATAACTTCAATAAAATATAGTACTTCTAGCCTAACCAGATGGAAATATATACCGATGATAACAACAAATGAAAATTCATCTTTGTGGTAGTAATTTCAAAGATTAATGCGTAGTATATGAAGAGTTATCATTTGGAGAGTCTGCAGACTTTGTTGGGAGAGGTCCCCGCTTTGCGCCCGACAGTACCTCGAGGGTTAGTCCCCGCAATCGCGCGGGGGATACCTTGGTTTTCACCAAAAAAAAAATTCATCTTTGTGGTAGTAATTTCAAAGATTAATGCGTAGTATATGAAGAGTTATCATTTGGAGAGTCTAACTATTATTAATCTAGTTTATTTAATAAGTGCATGAGTTAGCGGGATCAATGAAGAGTTTCTTTTATGAGTTAGTATTAAACTAAAGTTCTGTTTGGGAGTGCTTTTGGAAGAGCTAAAAGCGTTTTCTGACAACTAAAACCACTTCTAACAATGTGTGACATAAAAGTTTAGAAGTGCTTCCTATGCGCTTCTTCAATGAGGACTTCCTAGGAAGCACTTGGATTTCTTCTGAAAATTTCAACATCTTTATGAGCATAAGTACTTACTTGAGAAGCATTCCCAAATGAGCCCTAAGTTAGTGGGTTTAAGTGGTTAGGTTAAGGGATACCTTTAAATAAGGCTTGCTTTTGTTATTTGTGAGAGTGAGAAGTGAATAGAGTGAAGAAGTGTACGAGTTCAAAAAAAATAGATTTGTGTCGAAGTTTTTACATAGAAAGGAGTTTTTCTCCGGTATAGGAGCTCTATGTAGTCTTTTACTTCTGTTTCTTTAATTTGTTGTTATGCTTCTACACATTAAACACATTTTATACTTCCGCTGTGCATATTTTCCAAATCCACCCATAATCTTTGAGTTTGGTGATCCATAAACAAGGGGGAAACATAGTATTTTTACTTTCCAAACTGCTTCTACATCTTGCATATGAATTTTTTTTTTTTTTCATTAAACCGCAATCCTTTTGTATGTCTCAGCTTGAGAGCAGTACTTCCGCCGCATTGAGCAAGGAAATTGCGGAGAATACACATGAGCTAAGGTATATAACTACATCCATAATTACTGTTTATGAGTTGGGATTTAAATGTACATCACTCTGGCAACAATAAGGGGTGCCTCCTACAACAGGAAGCTAATGGGAGAAGAACTCCAAGAACTAAACATGAAAGAGTTGCATGAACTAGAGAAATTGCTGGCATCAGGATTGAAGCGTGTTAGAGATGCAAAGGTTTGTTTTTCTCTCTGTTTGGTTGATTTATTAATTTTTGTGGCTTTTAGAAATTCTTCCACATACCCTTACATACAAACATTTTGTGTTTAAGGGTGAAATTGTTCTGAAGGAGATCACCTCTCTTAAGTGGAAGGTCAGATATGAAACCTTTTTTTTTTCTCCTTTCAAGGAATTTTGCGCCAAAGTTTGAATTTATGGCTATCTCCATGCATGATTAACACTGATTTGCCGATACATTTGCTGTAAATAATGAGATGATGATAATGAAAAAAGTACAAACTATTTCAATGATACCGAGACAAGTTGCTGAGATCTATAAATACCTGGCATATAGCAATTACACAAGTGAAAAGGCGAGAATGAAGTTATTCCTTTTTTATATTTTATAAATAAAAAAAGTGAAAAGGTGAGAAAATAACTAGGGTTTCATGGGTATACGTATTTGGAAGGAGAGATTTAGAGAAAGTACTAGTGGAGATAATGTGTAATTTTGATAATATATTTATTGGAAATGTTTCAATAATAGAGGCGTAATTAAAACTTTAACAAAATAAATTGACAAATAGGGATGTCTTTATATATGATTTAGATAAAGTTTTAATTGCGGGATTCCTCAAATAGACGTTTTGTTGAATGTACTCTACATTGTAATTTGATAATCCAAACCGTCTGTCTCATGCGTCTCTATTAAAAAATAATTCTTACAAAAAAACTCAGACAAATTGGAAACAAATGTGGACCTCAGGTGTGGTGCAACATTTGTTGGCACAAGAGTAAACTTTCCTAATAATTTCATTCTCCTCCTCGACCTTACTCTTGTATTCGCAGGGATCCCAACTGATGCAAGAAAACAAGCGATTGAAGCAGGTAGTGGAAACTTTCAGACCCCCCTGGAGAGCTTCTAGGGATCTTAGATTATGATATGAACGGCTTTGATTCAATTTCTTTAAGTTTACTTCTTGTTTTTTTCTTTTCCAATTAGTGATGATGAATGTCTTCTTGGCACAGATGGCAAACCAACAGATCCAAACACTTGAACTTGAACTTGAACAAGGCCAATCCTCCGAGCCAATAGGCGATTTCATCCATTCAGATCCTTCTCAAGACCACGACAGCTCTGGCACTTCTCTCAAGTTGGGGTTAGTTTATTCTGCTCGCTTTTCGTAGAAGATTACTGAAGTTAATTTAGAATCCAAGACAAGATTTGGGTTCTAATACTATGTGTAATAATGTACTAAACAGTTCTAACTACTATAATCTAATGGCTACAATAGTTCAACTCATCGAAGAATATTTGTTTACTTTGTCAATCTCACCGCTTGTGCTTTGAATCTCTGAAGCGGTTTTGATTATCAGAAAGTGCTTTTAGCCCTTCTGATTTAAAACTAGTGCCGAACAGATTCTAGATGAAGAGATATATGCTTCTATTTGCCTATAAAAGCTTTTCTCTTACGCCATGCAGGTTAGCTTTTCCTAACGGGATATGACAGATGGAAAGCTCATGAGTTGCAAATCAGTTGAATTATCTCTTGTTGAAGAAGACAAGTCGCAGTACGTATATATTTATTCAAGACCAAAGCTTACAGCCTTGAATATATAATAAGATCTGATATATAAGTCCTATTTGTTTTTACAATTTGAATATTATTGTTAGTTTCCAGGGCTATGTATATAGTTAAGTTTTACCCTACTTATGTAATAACTGAAGTATGTAAACAATGGAAGGTGTAACCCTATTTTCGCTTGGAAAAATTTGTTCAAGCGACTTTATAACAGTAGTGTTTGATTTTCTGTACTAAAAGACGGTTGTAAAGCTTTTCTCTTACGCCATGCAGGTTAGCTTTTCCTAACGGGATATGACAGATGGAAAGCTCATGAGTTGCAAATCAGTTGAATTATCTCTTGTTGAAGAAGACAAGTCGCAGTACGTATATATTTATTCAAGACCAAAGCTTACAGCCTTGAATATATAATAAGATCTGATATATAAGTCCTATTTGTTTTTACAATTTGAATATTATTGTTAGTTTCCAGGGCTATGTATATAGTTAAGTTTTACCCTACTTATGTAATAACTGAAAGTATGTAAACAATGGAAGGTGTAACCCTATTTTCGCTTGGAAAAATTTGTTCAAGCGACTTTACAACAGTAGTGTTTGATTTTCTGTACTAAAAGAAGGTTGTCATATTTTATAGAATTAATAAAATAAATGTAAGAGAGAGAGAGAGAGAGAGAGAGAGAGAGAGAGGATGGATGGCAATATTCCCCATGGGTTAGGGTTTGTGGGACTTCGACCCTAATGGGTCGGGTATAAAGAATAGAAATTGGGTATGGGATGGATTTGGGGAAATTTTTGGGTATGGTCTTCGGAGTGGGGTGGAGATATTTTGATCCCCAACCCGAACCCGTCCCGTTTAGAATATATATGTATATATTATTTATTTTTCATATGAATATCTTGTTAAGTGACATTTAACTTTGTCCACGAGTCACCAAATTTTATGTATTATTACATTATATATTTAATTCAATAACATTAAAATTGTAAGTCTAAAACAAAACTTTTGTTATTTTTTTCTTATTAAACTTATGTTTTTTAATGATATTTTTGTAATGGGGCGGGGCGGGGGATTTGTTCCCTAACGAGGGCGGGTATGGGGAATTTCCGATTTCAATATTACGGTATAGAGGCGGGGATGGGAATGGCATACCCATCTCCAATTGTTGAGAGAGATGGGTATGCCATTTTGTTGAGGCCTATTTGTATGTTTGTATACCTCATAGAGGCCCACCAACGTTAACTCTGTGGCCCTTGAAATGGAATGATGTCCATAACCACAGTAACAGGAAACGGACGAGCTATACAAACGGGTAATTTTTGTGACTTTTGATATCTCATTCAAGTAGGGAATTCAAAATTTTTGATTTTAGGATTCTCAAATTCATTTATTAAGTTCAAAAATTTGTGTGGTATGTAATTTGAAAACTATTTCTAGAAAAAAAAAATAGATTTGTTCTGTTTTCAATTGTTTGGGTATTTTTAAGTTTGGACTTTTAAAATTGGGCATATCGAACGAATTTTTCGGACTTTAGACTCAAATTATATTTTTTAATTTATAAATTTGAATTCAAATAGAATACCAAACAAGCCATATGTTCTTTTTCCGAACAATGTAAATCTCATCTTTCAATTAAGATTTTACTTCATTAATGGTTTAGTGTGAATAGTTAACAACATAAAATTTTGGATTTTCTAATGTTCTTATAGCAAAATGTTGCTCTCTTCAAAAGATAGTCTCTCTTGTCCCGTTACTTTATTGGCTTGTTGCTCTGGTCCTTTGTTGGTTCATAACTTCATATAGAATCATAGAGATATTCAACACTTTGCTCGCTCATTTAAAGATATAAAGTTTAGAAAATCTTCCTAGCGGATGCCTTAGATTCTCTTGGGCATTCCATGCGCTCATCTCTAGTTTGGCATCATGAACTTCCTCTTTATGTTATTTATGTGTTTAATTATGATAAATGCGGTTTTGATTGTCAGGTAGTCTGCTTCTTCACATACATGTCTATTTTACCAAGCATGTTTCTGAAATAAAAAAGAATAATTAAATGTTAAAAAAAAAACCGAAGTTCAGTCTTTAATCACATGAACATGCAATCCCAACCATATAATTGAGTCACCAATTTTTGGGCACTACAATTTCTTTTTATTTATTATCTATATATATAAAGCAAAATGCAGAGAATGGTGAAACATTCAAAATACTAGAAAATGCCCTTAGTTAATGCAAACATTAAGAATTGAAATTATTAATTAAATGAGGATAATATGGTAAATTCACACTTTTTCATATTTTAAAAAATTAAAATTAAAAGAAAAATCAGATAATAGATCCTATTTTTATGGAACACAACTACCCATTATCTTTTTTGATTCTAAAATAAATTTTAAATTTTTTTTTAAAAAAAAACCTTTCACAAGCGCGGTAGCGCGTGGAGAAAGGCTAAATAAAATTCAGAAATGTTACGAAAAAGTAAAAATCAGAAATGAACCAAATATTCAATATTAAAACAATGCCACGTCACTTGATGTCTCGAGTATTAATGTAGTTATATGCCACGCGCATAGGCAACGGGCATCCAGCGCTATTTATATGCGCTAGTCTCGTTACTTCCCGCTAAAGACCTGTTCCAAATCATACATTCTCTCTCTCCATTTCTCCATCTCTATTACTTTGATCTCTCTCTCTCTCTCTCTCTCTCTGTCTCTCTCTCTCTCTCTCTCTCTCTCTGAGTTAATTCTGAAATTCTGTAGTTGCTTGCTTTGTTGCCATGGATGAAGAGTACGACGTGATAGTTCTAGGGACGGGTCTCAAGGAATGCATTCTCAGTGGTCTTCTCTCCGTCGATGGGCTAAAAGTAACTCAATGCTTTTCCTTTCATTTTTTTTAAATTCGTCTTATTTTCAAGAAAGTATATATAATTGGGTGATTCTCCTTCTATTTTTGATTTCTTAGTTAATTAGATGGTTACGTGCACATATGGATTAGGTCAGTTGCCCCATTTCCATGCACCCGAATTCGATCCTCCTCTTCGTATTAGAGTAGTTTAAAACATTTTTGTGAAAAAAAATGTAGACGGTTACGTGCTAAGCTCTCACTCATTTGAAGTTGTTACAAATTGACAATTCCTCACATTTGTGCGTTTCCCCCTGTTTTGGTTTTATTTTTGAACTTCTAATCGTCATGCTTAGAATTATTAGAAAATATATGATAATGTAGTACTTAAATTAGTATATGATCCAAGATGGGAAACAATGGAGCAATTGATTCATCTTGTCAACTCCAAATAGTTAGAACAAGGTTATTTTTATTAGGAGTATTAATGTTACATGCACGTAAATCCCAGAGAAAAGAAATGTTACCAACTAACTCTTAGTCTAGTTGTATTTTTCTCCACGTTCATGGATGAGGTCTCAAATTCGAGTAACGCCTCGCCTGATGAAGAAAAAAGTCCCAATAAAAAAAATTGTTGCAATTGATTAATCTTTCTGAGGTAGGAGTCAGGACCCTCTCATATAGTGTCCTACTTCTCATTAGTGTTTGTAGATACATTCTGGATCATCTTGTTTATAGGCCACCTTGATGTTTGATTCTTTTTTGTTTTCTTTAATATTTTGATTTCTATTTGTATTTGTGAATTGAATGCTGCCCACTTCTTCAGTACAGCTGATGTTAATCTTGAAACAGGTTTTGCATATGGACAGAAATGACTACTATGGAGGAGCATCTACCTCTCTAAATCTTACGCAGGTACGTACTTACCTCTTCTTACATAATTTTTCACATTTGATCCAGAAACACATCGGTAAGTTTGTGTTCATCTGATACGAAGAACTTGCAAGAAATTGTTGAAAAGAGTTTATGGTTATCTTTCAAACTTTATATTCTGCTCTCTAGCTTTGGAAGCGGTTTAGGGGAGACGACAAGCCTCCGGAAAGTTTGGGCTCAAGCAGAGAGTACAATGTTGACATAATACCAAAGGTACTTAGAGTTTACCTTAATTAGTAATTATTGATTAACAGATCAAATTAAGAATGCCTCATTTTTAGTTTTCATCTTGGACCTCACTTTTCATCAGATAGGCCGTGCCCGTGTCTTAATTTCGTTATGTTTTTCTGCCTATTAACTTAACACCTTGTTCTTAATGTTGTAATTAAGTTTGCTGCCTTCTTTCCCATTTCCCCTTACAGTTCATGATGGCCAATGGTGGTTTGGTCCGTGTCCTGATCCACACAGATGTCACCAAGTATCTAAACTTTAAGGCTGTTGATGGTAGCTTTGTGTACAACAAAAAGAAGGTACATCTATATGATATATGTTGATAATATCAAATCAAATCTGTTACATTCAAGGAAATAGATCTTACATCTCCAAGAGTAAGCTTATTGGAATTAATGGTTTTAGATCTATAAAGTTCCAGCAACTGATGTAGAAGCACTAAAATCACCATTGATGGGACTATTTGAGAAGCGACGTGCTCGAAAGTTCTTCATTTATGTTCAAGACTTTGAAGAGAATGATCCCAAATCTCATGAAGGGCTGGACTTGAACAAAGTTACTGCAAGGGAGGTTATCACGTATACTTACTGTTCCATCTTCTTTTCTTTTTTTCTTCCCCAACCATGCATTCATTATACTTGAGAACTTATGAATCACTCGGATTAGTAATAATTTGTACACTAAAGTCTTTTGTGTAGTTTCACTATTTGTACTGCCTTGTTTTATCTCTTGCACATTTATATATAGCAGTCAGCAAAATGGTATATATGATGTCTTATTGTGAATTTCACAGTTGATTGCTCACTCCATTGAATGGCATTTATTTAGATGACTAATGTGATATTAAATTGTAGGAAATATGGGCTAGAAGATGATACAATCGACTTTATTGGTCATGCCTTGGCACTTCATATTGATGATTCTTACTTGGATGAGCCAGCAATGGAGTTTGTGAAGAAAATGAAGGTTCAACTGTGTTCTGCTATATGTTTTGAAGTGACCTGTTTTAGGAAAAACCTCTCAACTGCATTCTTTTCTTTGTCATAAAATACCTGTGTAGTTATCAGTTCTCTGCCTTTACTTGAGCAGTGCACTTAGACGACCTACCGTGGAATGTTATTCTGATTGTTTTGTTATAGCAATTTTAAGCCTCTGCACCGCTACTATCTGGCCGGTTCATCAAGCCATAATATTAATTTATAGAATGTTGCTTGCTTCTAGTGCCGGCAGTATATA